TTTAACAACAGACTACAGATAGCTCTCATTCCTCTCATGCCTGCAGTGAATGAGTGAATAAGCCAGGATTACACACTACAATGACATCTATACAGGTGTTCCAAACTCACACTAACCAGTTAAAGTGATTTTTGCTCCCCGTTTAAAACGTATGTGTATGAACTAGACTGTCGTGTGCTTGCTTGTTCTGTTTTACTGAGCAGCTGCTCCTGAGGGATGGATATGTTTCTTGTTTTTATTTATATATGTATGTATGTATGTAATTATTTATTTATTTATATTTTTTATAATTATATTTAAATGCGCAACAAGAGCTGTACTATTGTGCTTACATGGAACAAATGAGCAGCATTTTAGTGTTGTCTGCTGATTAATTTAGAATAAAATATACAGCAATGTTATTTAACGATCACATAGTGATTAAAAATGTTGAAGGCTCTGTCAGTCTCTGCTACCATGGTGAGATAAAGTTATGAATGTTGTTACCATGGTGAGATAGAGTTAAACCATTGTTACAATGGTGAGATCGTTAAGTATATGTTAACTTAGAAAGCTAAAATTAGGTATCTGTTACCATGGTGAGAATGAGTTAACCCTCTGTTACCATGGTGATCTAAAGTTAAGTATCTGTAACCATGGTTAGATGGAGTTAAGTCTCTGTTACCATTGTGAGAAGAATTTAAGACTTTGTTACCATGATAAGCTAAAGTTAAATATCTGTTCCCACGGTGAGATGGAGCTAAATCTCTATTACTATGTCAGCTAAAGCTAAGTATATGTTACCATGGTGAGATGAAGTTAGGACTTTGTTACCATGGTGAGATGAAGTTAGGACTTTGTTACCATGGTGAGATGAAGTTAAGTATCTGTTAGTATGGTGAGATAAGTTAAGTATGTTTTAATGTGGTAAGCAAAATTTAGGCATCTGTTACCATGGTGAGAATAAGTTAAGCCTCTGTTGCTGTGGTGAAATAAAGTAAAATCTATGTTACCATGGTGAGCTGGAGTTAGGTTTTTGTTACCAAGGTGATATGGAGTTAAGTTTTTTTTTAACCATGGTGAGATGGAGTCAAGTCTCTGTTACCACAGTGAGGAGTTTAGTCTTTGTTACCATGGTGAGCTTAAAAAAAAGTATCTGTTACCATAGTGAGATGGAGTTAAATTTTTGACAATTTGTTACAAAAAACACATTTTTACCTTAACAGTCATCGAAGATGGAAGTCTGGTTCAGTAGCTTCCAGTCCTCAGCTTGTTGCTGTCCGTTTGCTCCCGGCTGGTGGCACAGATGGCTGATTCCCCTAAAAGTCTGGCTCAGCTGGATGTATGTTTGCAGTAGCAGGGCAGGAGTCTGGTTTCAACAGCTGTTTAGGTCCTCTGGACTCACAGGACTGGTATGACCACTCTGACTGGTACTTATCTCAACTGGACAGTAACAGGATGGTGTTGAGTAACAGGCAGATTTACAAATAATTTGTTGTTCAAGTGGGTTTGGGGGGGGGGGGGGGGCAATGGGACAATTGGCTCTTTGCACCGACGTCACCTAATCACGTGGGTCCACCATGGTGGACGGCAAAAGCATGTAAACAGTAAGCGGCACGATTACTAAACAATGGGAAAAGTAGAGCCTGAAACTGTTTTTGCGATCAAAACAAAAACAAAACTCCTCCAGCATTCCTTCCACTAGCTCATGCCCAGTTCAGTTATCAGAAGAGGTAGCGCATCTAGCGGGGGCTCATAGAGAGCGGTATGCTAACTAGCTTACCAACGTTAGCTTACGTTCTCTCTGCAGCTGTTCATCGATGTAAACATGTTGCTGACTTTGCCTAAATTCACCCCTCTGGATTTATAACATTATGTTGTAAACAGCGTTTCACTTTACACCAAAGCTGATTTTTAAATAGTCCCGATCCCTACCAGCTTCTGTTGCTGGTGGTGTTACCGGGTTCAGCTGCTGCTCTCACACCGCAATGAGAAGATCTCCGCTGGCGCTCATATAAATAAATAACGTAATTTTAACACACGTAATCATACATCGGAGCTTTAATATTGTTAATAATTGTCTCGCTGTGCACTACAGTGGACGGAGCGCAGCCTCCATGGTGAAATACCCATCCATCAGGATTATCAATAACTAGTATAAACACATCACATTTATCTCTGTCCCTATCTTTTACGTGAAACAAATTAACGTTAATCTTACCCGGTAAAAACATGTTCGCTGCAAATCTGAGGCCTGCTAGTCCGCTTGATTGATCGCTGCAGTTCGTCTCCGTCCTCTGTCTCCATCAAAGTTATTAAAAAGAAAAAATGAGTTGTTTACGTCCTTGTCTCTTAGTGCAGCCAACCACCAGCAAGCTAAAACCATTTTACTGTCAAATAAACTCAATAAAAGGGATAAAAGGCTACAAACTGGCTTGTTTTGACTACCTTCACTGGAATTGGGTGTAAATGGTCTTTTTGCCGTCCATCATGGCGAAGGGGGCGGTCACATGAGTGGCGTGACGTCACGTGCAAAGGGTCAATAGGCCCAGCCAGACCAATGTGGATCCCGCCCCTTGAGCCGTGGGTGGGGGTGTGGGCTATCTGGCACCGGATTTACCGGATTCCACCTGTCGGGATAGCTGCGATGTTTGTGTCTGTTCATGAGCGCGTGCTGATACAACGAGCCGCGCGCCAGCATCCGGACCTCACAGGAAAATCAGAGTCGCGCAGCTACGGTTCCTAAAGGTGAACGGACCGTTTTCCGTTCACATACGTGCTTTTTGCCCTCATCTCAACACACAAACGTTTCAGTTCCAGCGGACGGGTTTATCCGCAGAGTCCGAGCCAACCGGGGAACCGGAACCGAGCAGCAGCATGTCCAGACAGCCGCCGCCGCTACAGCAGAGGACCCCTATAAAACTCATCGATAACACGGTGGAGGTGAAGAGTAAGGTGAGCAGAATATTGGTGGTACTCGCCGGTGTTCCGTTCAGGTGGGACTCATGGCGTCTCCCTTCCGCCTGCTGGGAAACGCAGGAGGCCTGTCAGACACCGCACCGGTGTCAGTCCCATCCGGTCGGTGTTGGTTCTGATTCGGGTTCTGAAACGAGTGACTCATCAGAGCGGCAGCAGCCAGAAGATGTGATGAGACCCGGCTCTCAGCATGTCTGAAGGTCAAACAGAAGATGCTGCATTCAGCAGCTGGTTGTTGTTTATGTGAGGACCGCCAGCTCTAGGGCTGCGGGAGCGTTTCACCACCATCGGTTCGGGTTTAGCCTGGAGAGGACCGGGAAAAGCCCCCGGCCCTCACCCCGGACACCTGTCAAACGGGGATGGCTGCTTGAATGTGTCCGCACAATCATTAAACTATACGCGCGCGTGTGTGTGTGTGTGTGTGTGTGTGTGTGTGTGTGTGTGTGCGCGCGCGCGCGCGTCAATTCATCATAAACACATCCTTCCACTTTGGTCACAAAAGCCTCATCCTGGGGTTGTAACTGCAGTACAGTACATGGACATGTGGGGCAGCAGCTTTATTATCACTCACCAAGACCGCACACAGGGAAGAAGAACGTGAGGGCTGTTGGTCATAAAAGCACAAAACCTTCTATAATGTTTATTAAGTTTCAGATTCATTCATTGTACTGGTTCCCAATCCAGTTTGCTGTGGAAAAGCTGTAATAATGAAAGAGTCAGTAGGATTCACAGGTGGGAGGTCTTGAACAAGATCATTTATAAAATGATCCCACATCAAAACAAACGGACTCTGTAGTGAAAGCTGCGTGTATTCCAGCTCTCCGAGTGACCGGATGCGTCGTGTACGTTAACAGTAAACCGGTCGTGATGGTTAAACTTTGAACCCAAAGGGAACGTTCAGGTGCATTGTCTACCTTCTTTGTGGATTGGACAGAAAATGGTGAATCCCATGGAACAGGAAGACCAATAGGGTCAGCTCTTTTACAGTTACTGATGAGTGGATCCACTAGATGTGGATCTTCTAACCAGATTTGTCTTCTACAGTATGAGGCAGAGTATCGTCGCTTTGGTCTGAAGAGAAATGGCTCCGGTGGCTTCCGGGAATTCTACCGTCTAATCCAAACCATCCATCACATCCACGGTATTGACGTGCTGTTGGGATATGCCGATATTCATGGAGATCTCCTCCCAATCAACAATGATGACAACTTCAACAAGGCCGTGTCTTCAGCCAACCCACTGCTCCGCATCATTATAAGCAAGAAAGGTAGGAGCTAAAGGAGAATCTACATCGTTCGACGTATTCCATGGCTGTGTCCGTCTATACCTCCAGAATGTCTCGGTTCAGTCACTGAAACCCTCCAGTCAGTGTTGTCAGAACAGTCCTGAAGCTAAAAAGCACCATGGGACAGCAGTAGCTCAGCAGGTAGAGCCGGTTGTCCAGTAATCAGAAGGTTGCAGGTTTGATCCCGGCTCCCACCAGAGAAAGCTGCTGTTGTGTCCTTGGGCAACACTTAACCACCTTGCCTGCTAGTGGTTGTCGGGACCAATGACGCCAGTGTTCGGCAGACCTCGCCTCTGTCAGTGTGCCCCAGGGCAGCTGTAGCTACATCGTAGCTCATCCCCACCATGTGAATGACTGATTGTGTTGTAAAGCGCCTTGGGGGGTTGTAGAACCCTAAGAAGGTGCTATACAGGCCCGGCCAGAATCTCCCACTCTGTGTGATGCGCTGCAGGGATTTGATCCTCTGCTGGTACGAGGGTAGAGGGAGACTGGGAGGTGATCGGACCGGCCCAGGTGGTCGTCAGGGTGGGAAGGACAAAGCAGACACTGAAATCTCAGTAATGAAATGGTCTGCATTTAAAAAAAAAAAATCCTCCAGGTCTTGGCCGCAGGGTGTTTTAAAGATAATAGCATCTGAGCTCCAGTTGTTTATACAGACACACATACCATCACCAGTTGTCCTCTGGGCCCCCTGTTGGCCACAGCTGTCCACCCATGTCCCCATCAGATCCATGCTAGAGGACAACACAAGACATTACTAAACTTAATGTGATCTAGGCCTCCCACGTGGTGGCGTCATTTGGAAGCATTCACAGTGATGGCCCCAGTGATGTCCATGGTGGTGGAGGTCAGCGCATCCTGTTAATGTGTTTGTTCTGTAACATCTAAGCCTGGAACTCCAGACCCACCAGAACTTCAGATGAGACTAGGGGAACTGTCCTCGAGTACCAAGAACAGAGGTTGTTTTGTTAACTCTCGTGGTTCATTCAGATTCATTAGCTTTGTTTTAGCCAGGATTTCTTGTTTAATGGATGCAGGTGAAGTTATTGATTGGGTTTGGGATTGTATAATCTACGTTGTTAAAGGGACGTGTAGCTTGGTGTGTGTTGGAGATCGTGGATCAGAGTCAGGATGTGATGATGTAATCTGCTCAGCAGTCATATATTGTTCAGGAGCAGAAAGGCCTGCAGGTTTAGTCTGGTTTACGCTGAGATCTGAGAGAAGGAGAGCGAGGCAACGTCAGGCAGAAACAAAAGATAAGGAGAGAAAAAAGAACGAGATGAAACAGGAACTTTAGCAATGTTAAACACGCAAACACCATTTCAGGTTTACCAGGTTTACTGATGGTGTTGGACTTGTTACGTGCTGCTTTCACTTCAGCAAAGATTAGCACATGATGTAGGAAACTAAAGCTCTACATCCTAACCACCGCTAGCTGTGCTGTTCACCTCGTTCATGTAGGCACTCACAGACCAGAAAACTCAAGAGTAAGCTAAAAAGTATAGGTATCACCTTTAAATGACTGACTTGCTTGCTGTAAAAGTGCTGACCGTCGTAGATTCTAACAGAAGTTTACAGCACCTGGGCAGCTGCCCTGCCGTTGCCTCATACAGACCGTTAGATCTCTGTAGTTCATCTCCAATCATAACAGAAAAAGCAGTTCTGTCATAATTAGCTCTGGTATTTTTCTCTCTTCTCTAAGAGGATGAACCCGTGGTTTATGGCACCAACTCGCTACAGCGGCGGAAGAAGGGACTGTCTCTAACAGGGCTGCGCCCCACGGGTTCAGGCTCCATTCACCCAAAGAACAAATCAGGCCTCATGATTGGCCCGCCAAAGAACTTCAGACAGATCTCATCTATCATTGATGTGGACATCTTGCCTGAGTCACACAGGAGGGTCCGACTCCACAAACATGGTAGCAATAAGCCTCTGGGCTTCTACATCCGGGACGGGGTGAGCGTACGGGTCACACCTCAGGGGGTGGAGAAGGTGAGAGGAGTTTTTAATGTTCTACGTCCAGTTTATGCTTTAGACATGTTTAAAAAGGTCTTGTGTAGGAATAAGGGTCTGGTTCAGGGGTCTGCAACCTGAACTGGTTCTTTGGACTGCCCACAACGGCTGTGAAGGACAAAAAGTGCTAAAAGAAGTTCAACAAGTTTTTAAGGTCAAGTTCACTGAGAAACCGTTTTTCCTGCCAGTCCAAACAAAGCCACCGCCTGGATTTAATCAAGCAAAGAGGAACAAGCGTCCTATTGGATGATTGCTGCATGGGCCAGCAGAAGAAGAAAAGCCACGCACATCAGTGTCACACTGAAAGTCTGCATTCACGGACTCGCCATCTTGGCTCGTAACGGGGAAGGCTGCTGGTGGTGTAGCATCCAGGAAACGGCATCTCAGCTTGTTCAAGCTAACTGTTAGCATTAGCAACTGTACCACACAGCTTGTTTGTACTATTTGTGGAGATAAAACATCAATATAGCAGAACAGACAAAATCAGCGGTAGAGTACTGTTGCTGTTGTCTAATCAGAGGAGAGATGTCCAAATATCAGGAAATAAGACTCCAGATTCTGTCTTCGGACGCTACTTTTTACTCCAGCTGAATTCTCTGTGCTGGAACAGCTTCAGCTCAGCTTTTTTGCCCCGGAGTTCAACTTACAAGGCTTTCGCTCCTACTAAAGACCACTGCAAACGAATGAAAGTATGAGTAAAATATTTGTTTAGTTCAGAAACATCCTTAATATTATTATTATTATTATGGTGGACGGAGAGGAAAATGGGCTCTTTAGACTGTAAAGGTTGCATACCCCTGATCTAGTATTTGGACCTGAGAGACTTTCTTCTGAATAGTTTGTCTTTATTTCCTGGATGTGTAACTGAGACACAACATGACGTTTGTTTTAAGCCCTAACCAGATTAGATCCTTTATTGTTGTTGATCTGGAACAAAACAACAGTACAACGCCGAAGGCAAACCCATCATGAAGCATCTGGTTATGCTGCACACATGACATCGTTAAACAGCTAAAACTCCATCACTTCTCAACAGGAAGTGTGTTTGTGTTCAACTCTGTCCTGCTAGGTGGTGGTCAGTAAGCTTTCCTCCTAGGAATGATGTGCCTGTAATTTACGATGTCCGTAAAGATGGGTCTGAGTCAGACAAGAAATATGATGTTTTTTAATGTTTGTGAAGAGAAAATGGTTCCATGCTTAACACATTTATGGTGTATAAAGCAGACCGTTTGACTCACACTGGTGTGTTCGTGTGTCCAATAGGTTCCTGGGGTCTTCATTTCTCGTCTGGTGCGAAATGGGCTTGCAGAGAGCACTGGACTACTGGCTGTCAATGATGAGATCCTAGAGGTCAACGGCATCGACGTAGCAGGAAAATCTTTGGATCAGGTGAGAACAACCCACCCCCCCCCCCCCACCCCCTAGGGGACTTGACTTTTAACACAACCAGACATTTAACCTCTGATGGTGATGAGCTACAAAGTAGCTGCAGCTGGCCTGGGGCACACTGATAGTAGCAAGACTGACCAATAACTGCCCCTCCAACCACCACCAGAGGGTGAAATGTTTTGCCCAAGGACACAATGACTGCAACAGTCTGGGCGAGGATGGAACCAGCAGCCTTCTGGTTACGAGATGTGCTTTTAACTCCTCTCCTCCTCTGGTTCCACCATAATCACCAGCAGAAGCAGCAGCAGTTTATTCTTCCTCTGATTCCTTTTTGATCATTTCAGGTAACCGACATGATGGTGGCCAACAGCCACAACCTGATCGTAACAGTCAAACCAGCTAACCAGAGGAACAACGTCGTGCCTCGTGGGAGTAAGTACTCGTTGGGTAATTCTGGTTCTGTGGGCTCGGCTGGATCAACAGGCTCTGCTCCTTCACATGATTCACCAAGTCCTGCATCTCAGAGCAACCCCTTCACTGCAAGGTATGGACCAGCTCTCTGCTGGAGATCTACAGACTAGATAAAGCGTTATATGTTGTTTGCATTTAGTGAAGAAAATGTTCAAGTTATGTTTGTATAAATGCAGAAGAGACCACTCCGCTTCCACGTGGGTGGCTTACTGCAGTTTAGGTCTTTCACCAGAGGCCAAGGCCCTCATTTATCAACCGTACACACACAGATCTGTGTGTGTTTCGTGTAAAGGAACCATTTAATGTATTCTGTGGTATTCTTCGTCGTGTACTTGTGCGTAATGTCAGTAAAGTTGTTGTGTTTTCTGGGAAGAATGCAGGGATTCCTCTCGTGCTGAGGACGTAGCGTGACCAAATATGGTTAATTGAGGGCGTTTCTGTATGTAAATGACTGAACGGACATGAGCACCTGGGTACGCACAGGTGGGATTTATCATCAGTCGTACGAGAGGCCACCATGTGTTTGATGAATCAGGATTTTGGCCGTTTGTAAGAACATTCTAAATTTAATTTGTAGGAATATAGAAATGGTTCTATGAATGTTTGATAATGAGGGCCCTGGGAACTGGATGGTTCCTGTTAGCTTCTCCTTGATCTGCTGTCCTCTGGACAGAGATCTTCGTGGTAGTTTCTGGGATCTGTTGGAGTTTGTGGGTCACAGTATCCACCACCTTTTGTTAGAGCCTCCAGGTTGAGGTATAGAAACTCCAGCTCTCTTGGGCTGTCTTGTGCATCCTGGGCTTGACTAGCATGGGGTGTGTCTTCTACATTCGTACACATATTGTACTCAGACCTCTGTTTGGAGGTCAGGGGCTGGATGAGGTCTTTCTGTGTTGCTACATTACTTTGCATCATGTCTGTTATGTTTGTCTGTTACTGCAGCAGCAGCATCGCTGAGGGGGACAGTGAAGACGAAGAGGAGGATGGTGATCTCATTCTGGAAAATGACTGCCTGAGAGCCCACAATCCCCATCCTGTGACTTACAGCAACAGTGCTAACCTTAACAGGAACTCGCCTCACTACGGCTCACACGGTTCTTCAGGAGGGAAGTCCGTCACACAGAGTGTGTCCATGCCCAACAGCATCACATCAACCCTGAGTTACAACGGGAACTTAAATCACTCTGCCAGTGGCAGTCAAGACAGCATGAAGGAAGACGGCAACATACTGACACTGTGATAGTTGTCACCGTGTCAACACAGACATCGCCTGTATGATCATGGAACGGCCATGTTGTTGTAAACATGACAAGACGGACATGAAACTCAGCAGCAGCGTTGATTGGAAAGGTTTTTTCTTAGATTGACGGGTTCTGTAGTTGTGTTACTAGGAGCACACACACACACACACACACACACACACACACACACACACACACCACACCACACCACACCACACCACACCACACACACACACACACACCACACACACGCACACACACACACACGCACACACACAGTGACATGAAACAGTATCATATTTGTTTGAATATCTATGAAAACGACATTAGTCACATGCCAAAATGATCAACTGAACAGAACAATCAGAGGAAAACCTTAAAATGACCATAAATAGACTTTTAAAGAACTTCATTTTATTTTTGGTACCTTAAACTTTTAGACTTTAGTTAAATCAGTTCCCTTCTTGGTTTAAATCGAGGCATTTAATGAACTAGAATGGGTGAGAAAGACGATCTAATGTCAGACCTTTGTAGAAAACATGGATACCTGTCCTCCTGTAGAGGTCAGCAGGTTGACTTTCATGTTACACTGAATGTTTTGTTTTAAATGGGTGTTGCGTAATCCTGCCGGCGGTTCTTTGTTGGGCTTCAGAGGTCTTCATCGTCATACACACTGATCACTCGCCGTACTCTGGTCTCAGACTCATCCATGAGGTGAGATTTTACTCAGATTTTATACAAATCTTTTATTACGTGTCTGAAGTTTGACCACAGACGGGTGTGTCTCCTCATTCAAACCCTAGAACTGTGCTTTACCTATGCATGACTGAGCTTCCCATTATAGATGTGACCTTCCAACTGATCTTTCTACAAACATTAACCAACAAAAGTCCTAAATAAATAAAGTTGTACAGAGTCTTGTATTTAAAAGAATCAGTGTTGTGTTTTAAGGCCTAAACAGAGACGAACTATTTGTCTGTTAAAGTCTGCACCAATCACCGCTCTTATCTCGGCATCACGCTGCATCCAGCTCACTCCAGGCTTCCTGCTTCTCTTCTCATCCTGGGGGGCAGAACCACGAACAGCAGGGGTCATAACTCCTTCAACTTCAAGCTTCAGACTCTTCAGCCTAGCTGACTCTTTTTTTCTTCCAGAACATTTCTATCAGAAGTACTCCTACTCCATTTCCCTTTCCAGCTTAAACCCTCCCCCCGAGCTGCTGGCCTCTCACCACCTGGTCTCCTGAACACGTCTTACATCCACTTTCCTTCTTATCTTCATGACCACCAGCTCTCTAGCGTTACCTGTCATAGTTCCAACCTTCTATGACTTTCATAACTAAGGACACAATAACATACGAGGAGAAAAAAGTGACACAGCATTTTTATCAGTAAGGGTTTTTCTAAGTGGGCTTTTGACACAAAATTTGTTTTAGATGTTTCCATTAAGCAAAATGATGAATTCATGCAAAGAAATCAGAACATAAAATTGAGTCATAATGAAGTGAAATGACACAGGGAATAAGTGTTAAACACACTTTAATAGTTTGTAGAAAAGCCTTTTGTTGGTGATTGCAGCTTCTAGATGCCTCTCGTATGAGAGAACGGCCGTTTGCGTTGCTCAGGAGTGGTTCTGCCCCGTTCTTCCACACAAACACTTAATCTTAAAGGTTCATTGGGCCTCTTTTATGGACTTTGATCTTCAGTTATCTCCATTGGTGTTCTGTGGGATTTAGGTCAGCTGATTGACTGGATCATTCAAGCAACTTGATTTTGTTTCTTTGAAACTGGTTCATTGTTTCCTTGGTCTTGTGTGTGATCACTGTCTTGCTGAAATGCCCACCCTCGTTTCATTTTAAGCTTTCTGGTATGACGGCTGCTTTTCATCCTGAATGTCCTGGTACGTTCCTACATTCATCCTGCCTTGAATCATAGGAAGTCTGCCAGTACCCCTTGCTGATAAGCAGCCCCACACCATGATGCTTCCACCTCCAAACTTAACTGTTGGCATGGTGTTCTTGGGGTGGTGGGCAGTGCCGTTTCTTCATCATCTGACCATACTATAGTCTCCCAGTAACCCTCAGGCTTTTCCAAATGCTGTTCCACAAACTCTAACTGGTCCTCAACATGCTTTCTGTTCAGCAATGAAGTCTTGCATGGTGAGCGTGCATGGGTACCATGGTAGTTCAGTGCATTGCTTATAGTTTTCTTTGAAACAGCAGTAGCTGCTGAAGCAAGGTCTTCCTGAAGTTCTGCCTGAGTTGTTTTTGGCTCTTGGAGAACTCTCCTGAATATTCTTTAGGATTCTCTTATAGGAATCTTATGTGTTCACAGTGTTCACAGGAACATCCAGCATTCTGGAAATGCACCTAAAACCATTCCCATCAGAATGCTTTTCAACAATAAGATTATTAAAATAATCAGAATCAAACACCTTTCTGTTCCACAAAAAAAATCCACTTTAAAACCCTGAATAAAAGACACCCTTGCTTCTGCGCTGTTGGCATTCCTAGAAGCTACTCATAACTGGATTTCAAGTAAGCTCAATGTTCCACATTTAATGTCTGATGGGATCAAAATTGCTCTCATTTGGATTCAGGGTCTGTTCTCATTGTTCTCTTTGGTTTCTGTGGTAATGGGACTTCATGATGTGGATGAAGTTTTTGTCCTGTTCTCGGTGCATTCACATCCAGCTTAGTTTCCTCATGCAGGAACGGCATCGGTGCTGTTACTGCAGATCACTTTGAAGATACAAGTTTTGTCCCTCTTGGTTTTTGGACTTGGTCTTTTTGAATGTTCTTGAGTCACAGCTACATATGTAGCTGTATCAAATATTTGATACCTGTTGTGCCTTAAGTATATCAGACATGTTTATCTGTGAAATTCAGCACTCTTACATGTTCTCAGCATTAAAAAAAGATTTTGAATGAGATGAAAGAATCCCTACATGCTCTTGTCTTGCTTTATCCAGGAAATTACCAGATTCTCTGCCCATTTTTTACCAACTTAAGGTCAAAAAGATAAAAAGCCCCAAAACACCTTTATATATTTATTCAGACATGCTGAGATTTCTGAATGTAACAAAGTGGAAAAAAAATGGTTGTAAATGAAAAATGCCAACAATTACATCAAAACAAACCCTGAAAGTTAGATACTCGCGAATAAATTGCAACAAATGAGTCAAGCATGTTCAGAGCTTGTGAGGCTGTGGATGTAGGCTCCTTCTGGCTTCACAGGAGGCCTGGGTCTATACAGCCTCTGGATATCTGCAAACACACACACACACATGCAGTAAAGATAAAAAAAAATGATTAAGGAGAGCCTTATATGTGTGAATGAAGTAACTATTAGTCATAAAGACTCATTTTGCACATTTAAAGATATATTTGTGAATAACATGAACCATCATACACTGTGAACTCATCTCATTACCATTAATAGCAACAATAAAGAAAAAAACCTAAAAAAAAAACTATGCAACACATGTTTGATTTACTGAATGTACCTAACTGAAACATCTCACTTTTTGTCTGTAATTTCTTTAACTTCATGACAATCAGAATGCTACATCATTAACTTTGATCCTGTGCAGAAACATTCCAGAGCTCTGCATCCAGACTAGTGTCAGTGACTTTGCAGCAATCCTCATACTAAGCAAGCATATAGCGACAGTGGAGAGGAAAACTCCCTTTTAACAGGAAGAAACCTCCAGAGGATCATTGCTCAGTATAAGCAGCCATCCACCACGACTCACTTGGGATGGAGAAAGAGCACACACACACACACACACACACACACACACACATACACCAAGCAATGTTTTTATGGTTACATTGTGATTTCTTAGTAAATATTCTATTTGGTGAGAGGTAAACTTTATTGTATTTATCCTAGTGAATCTATTGTTAAACGGGTAAACTAGTAGTAGCACATCCAACGTCAATTTAGTTAGGTAAAGTAAGTTATGACAAAGGCAAACACTGCATCGAGCAGTTGACAGCGCCCCCGGATTCGTGTCTGTGGGCGTTGTCAGCCTTGCTAATTTAGCTTACTAAGCTAACAACTTAGACCTTTCTGAAGTGTCTCTTTTGGCTTGATTCGCACATGGCAATCAGCCCTTCGACTGGTGGTATACCATTCAGGTTCTCGCTCTAATTTGTCGGTATAGCATGTAATTTGCAGCATGTACTTCACTACGCTCTTCTGTTGTGAGCTTAAGATTAGCTTTCTTGGCTAACTAAGCTAACGGGCAATAAAGGGCTTATTTCTGGCTCATTAACCAGCTTCAGGCGTCCCTGATAATTCTGATAACATAACAGAATTAATGTCCGGAATTTTTGTCAGAAAAAACATCCGTTATTCGGCGTTAGGATGCTAATATTACCAGTTGATCAGACTGGATTAGCGGTAGCTAAGTGCTAAGTGGAGATCAGAGTTTCCTGACTCCTGTAACACAAGCTTTTCAACAGTGACAAAACCACACAAATAAATGTAGCAGAATCACTCAAAACACGTGACAAACGTATTTATTTTCAAATATCACCAAATAGTTAATTACCTGCAGTTTAGCTCAAATAAAGCTTTCATAGACACATAGATTTTGGATGACAAGGGGGAGTAGCGCCCCTGGTGGGGGGTCTCCTCGTTTGTGAAATAGGTAGGGACAGCGTCCCCAGGTGGCGAAAGACTAGATCGCCCTCGTTTTTCACCCAGACACAGAAAATTGTAGTTTTGAAGAGTTAATTAATCAGAACCAACACGAAGTGGACAATTCTAATAAATCTGGCTGGCTCGCCAATGTGTAGGGTTAGGTAAACTGTGTACTTTAGCTCAGTATATATATTAACTCTACATGTGACCAATAAGCTGTGATACTCTATCTAACTATAGAATATCACCTTGCCTGGTCTTTATTATGTGTAATCAGAAGATTCTAGGAGTCTTTATTTATTAGGGGATTGTACACACTTCGTTTTGATTCAGCCAGGTTTATAAAAGTACGAATTTATTTTACAAACAATTAAAACATGACAAATTGGTTAACTATTATAACTAACTATTATCCCCGTTAGATCAGGAATGTCGAGGTCCAGTTTGACCCTCTCTGGAACCGAAGCCAGTAGGAAAAGCAGCGGTTGCCGACCAGACCAGTCTTGAGATTCTTCCGGGTCACGACAGTTTTGTTGGCATGGAACTAAAGGTGATTTCTGGAACCTAGGTGTGAATGCGATGTTGGTCAGAACTTCCGTATCTCGGAGAGCTGAGTTCTGGATGTAAAAGAATTTGGTTTGCGTTAAGCTATGAGATTGGTTATTATCAAAAACCACATCCAGACACAATCTCACTGTGTTCTACGTACCCAAGTGGGGACGCCCTTTTGGATCCAAGATGTCGGAGACCCAGGTACCGAAGTCTGTAGACTAACTTGCAGTACAACCAGGTCAGTCGAGTCATCTCCAGGTAACGACAGTTGGAACTAGTTTGCGTCTCTCAGGAATAATTCTTAAGGAGTTGAACAAATCTGCTTGTTCTGCAGGAGCTATTTTGTTGTATCAGCTTCGCAGGTGCGAAAAAAGGTTTTGACAACGTGTCAAAAGTTTTGGTGGGTTAAAGAGGTTTGTGCTTCAGGTGGCCGGCCTGAAGCTTCTCTAGAACTGAAGAATCACCAGCATGATATGGTTTTAATGTTATGATGTTGTGATTGTGTAGCCAACCAAAAGTTGACAAGTTTGGATGTTACCAAGAATCTCAGAGACACACGCCTTCTTTGATCCGGAGGCTCTGATCTGGGTAAAAGGTTAATGTGTCATGGACTCACCGTAAATCCTCTAATACAGGCCCGGGCCTGTATTTGATTCAAGCTCATCAAGCTCCAGGGCTTTATTGGAAGGAGGGCCACAATTAGAGGCAGGCCTCTATTTCTATTTGAGCAAAATGAACTAATGGTTCACTGGAGTTTTTGACAATTAAAATTGCACCCACATTTTCAAAGTTAAACACATTTCTTTTAATGATTGTTTC